CCGCTTGAATGCCTCCCCTCCTAGGTGCGACACCTACACCCGGCACGGCACAACTCAGCCGCATGTCTCTTATCAAGCAAGTGGCAGGTCTGCCTCGTGGGCAGACTGAGCCGGATTTGTCATAGAAGAAGATTGGCTTTCTACACTTTGCAGCCCTTCTGCATGGCTCGAAGAAACAGATTGGGTGGGCTGGGCGGGGTCGATGAAAGTGAGGCGAGCATTGGTTCTCTCTTCACTCCATCAAGAATTTCCGGTTGGGGAGGCGCAGCCACATCACGCACAACCCTGCGTAAACCACTCATACCATGTCGCAGCCGCACCAGCGTGTCTCACCTTCCCGATGAAAGCTCTGCAGGGAGGCATCGATCGGTACTATCCATTATCCTTCAGCAAGTAGTGGGCGTTAAATGAATAAAGTTAATATTCGTATTGCTGTAGGTCTTGGCACCCGGTGTCCCCGTGGCGGGCTGGATGGAAAGGCTACATTCTTACACCGGTCTGACCTGAGGGCTTTGCTGCCTACACCTGGCGAGGCTGCGGTAGCATGTGAATGGCAGGAGATAAACCCGCATGCTGCAAGAACGGCACTAAATATCAAGCCAGCGCATCCTCCTCAAGCCCTGTCGGCTCCCCCTCCCACGTTCAAGTCCACAGTCATTCCAGCTCGTAAGCCGACCTGCACAGGGACGCGTCTTGCCTAATCGTGACGATGACTGAGTGAAGAGCCCCCGTGTAACGGGAGTCTGCAACCCATCCCTTGACACATTCTACCCACGACTATTTCTCTTGCTGTATTGGCTCTTCCTGGGCTGTGAGAGCTCTTGTGTGTCTTTCTCTCAAAACGTTCAGTGGCCAGCTGAGCGATGTCCGGCATCGAGGCAGTAGGACTTGTTTTGGGCCTGTGGCCAGTGTTGAAGAACCTCGTGGAGGCTTACAAGTCGTCAAAGGATGAGTCCATTATCAAGCAGCTAGGGTGGACCATTGCTACAAACGAGCAAATCTTTAAACAATCAGTAGCTAAGCTACTACAAGGGGACGAGGAATTGCCAGATAAGGATCGGCTGGGCCTAACGAAGGGGAATAAAGACTTCGCGGCCATCTGGGAAAATCCCGGATTCAACGCCAAATTGAGGAAACGACTTGGGGATGAAGTGTTTTATATTGTACAGCATGAGACTCAAGAAATTCTCAGCTTGATGGAAGGGCTGCGGAAGAAGATCGATCCCAACGGCGACTCTAACGATTTGCGAGATGCGCAAACATGGGCCACCTCGGGCACGTCGGCAAGTACCCGTTCGATCGTCAATCGCCAGGCCATCCAGATCAAGTTTAAAACGTTCAAGTTGAGCATGCAGAAGGATGACATCAAGAAAAGTCTTGAGTACTTACAGCTTCACATCAATCAGCTCAGAACTTTGCTTGAGCCCTACTCGTCAACGGTGTACTCCGCGGGTGAACGACCAGCGCGCCCATCGCACACCAGATCCCCGTCTGACGAAGGAAGAGCCCAAAATCGCAAAAGAGCTGATGCACAGTACTTCAACGACTTGTATGAAGTGCTATCCGATAGCTTTCACTGCACATGTGGCACTCATGAAGCAAACCTTCGACTTTCTGACTCCTTGGAAGTGTTCTTCCCCGTGGATGACGAGCCTCGAACAATGTCTGAACAGATCAATGGACTACGGACTCGCTCGTTGACTATAGACAGTCAAGTGACTAACATCCCAGTGCTCACGGACGTGGGTGAGGACGACACAAGGTAAGGCCTGATGACTTCCTACTCTCATGGAATGGTACTAAACGGAATCTGCAGCGAATTGATCCGCACCGCTTGGTCTAGATCCAGAAAGCATAGCGTATCGACAACTCCATCTGAACAAAGAGCGTTGCAAGTTTTATTTAGTCAGAACCGATTAAACAGAAATGCCACACCCATCGGATGCTTGTGTCAATGGTTAAAGAAAGTGGGAACATCACCTCCTAATTCACCACCCCTTCCATACCCGGGGATAATTGGGTCGGACTCGAAAAGATATACAGTAAATCCAAAAACTCAAGACATGATGAGTGCTCCGAAGGTCATGTCCATGGATGATTGCTTGAGCAGTTGTGATAGCTACGGATTGAGTCGTCGCACTCGACTTGATTTGGCAATGAATCTTGCTTCCGCGATAGTACAGCTGTATCCTACAGGTTGGATCGACGTTTGCTGGACTTGGAGAAACTTCTCCATGACGCGGGGCGACACGACCCCGGTCCAGCTTTGTATCACTCGACGTTTTTACTCGCAAGATGCGCAGAAGCAGAACCCGACAAGTTCGTCACCATCGAAGTTCTGGAGGATTATCCGGGACAAGGATCCCTTGCTCGTACGTTTGGGGTTCGCGCTGATCGAATTGGCTCTCGGGAAGCGGCTAGCTGATGCAGCGAAGACTGGAAGCGATGTAGAGGAGCCGAAGGAGGAATGGATGAGAGACCTGCAAGACTGGAATACTGCAAATGACCTTGTTGAGAACAATGTCATCCGCGATGAAGTTAGTCATGCATATCAAAGCATTGTCGCGGCCTGCCTAGAAGGGAAGATTATGGACGATACTGGTATGAAGCCGCTCAAATCAGGAACTGAGACCTTTGAGGACGATGTGGAGAAGTTCGTTGTTGGTCCTTTACGGAAGTACAATACTACCAATTGGGGAACTACAGGGCAGCTAGTTGCCTGTTGATGCCCGTAGCGGGCGGCTGTCTGTTCAAGAATGGCTGTTGTGGTGTTGTGAGGGGGGTTCTGATTTGAATATTGTATTGAATATTGTGTTTGTCATTGAATAATTCTTTTGTACCTTAGCTGACATTCTGGCTGAATCTATAATCGACGATTCGAATTAATCTGAAAGTAAAGAAGAGGAGAATGGGAGCTGATTATGCTGTAGCACTGTCCCAAAAATGAAATAGGCCGCTCCATGTCTCTCCAGACCCTTTTAGGCCTTGAAGAGGCAACATCCGCATATAGCCATGGTCTCCGAAACCTTCCGGTTAGAAGCAATATATCAATCCTTTTCTCAGCTGTTATTACAGCCACGTCAACAATGGCTGACAATAGAAGTTGCGGTGAAGAGATAAGGCGAGTTTGCAGTAGGAAGGGAGGCAGAGCCTCGCGCCTTTAGCTGCGAAGGCATTGAGGAGTGCATCATGCCTCTCTCCTATATCCCTGCTTCTTTGAAATATACAGAAAGGGATCGTTGGCGAATGCCGAGATCGCTCATACCTGTCCTCCTCAAACGGCCGTTCTCGGTTCCTTTGTCTTCGTGTCGTTCAACATGGCGCGGCAATCAATCGAGCACGAGATTTGGTATCAGTGCGGCCCCTCCTGCGGGCAGGTTCCTCGTCAGCCCCTCACTTCTGTCGTCTAGGAACCTGCGCTTTCTTGAACACAGCGATGGCTCTTGTCAAAAACGATATTCCGATAGAGGCGCGGATGCACTTCTTGAGCCGCGACCCTAAATACCTCGAAGAGAAGCCGTATACCTTGCGCTATGCGCCTGCTGCCGAAGATGGTATCCCACAGACGAACATCGACCGCGTCGAACACCACCTTGTTTTCCACGACATGCGAGACCAACATGATCTGACCTACGACCGTTGCGGATTTGCTGTCGCTAAGCTCGAGACTAACGGGATGAGCTACCAAGATTATGCCGACAGTGAACAGATCGAGAATAAACACGCTGAAGAGGTGCTGGAATGTGTCAAAAAGGCTCTTGGGGCGAGTTCAACGGAATTGATTGACTACGTTGTGCGCCGTAGACACGCATCATGGCCGATAGCAACGGGGGATACATACAGCTACCAACAGCCAGCCTCAAGGGCGCATATTGGTGGGCAAAAGTACATCAAGCAGACCCTCGCCGTGATTTTGCTGACATGCTCGCGCGCTAGATCATACGTACGATGGTGGTGTTGCCATTATTCGCGAAGCACATGGTGAAAACGCGGATTTGATACTGGAGCGGAGATGGCAACTTGTCAAGTGGGTAGTCATTTGATGCCAACACTACCTTAATCACACTACCTACGGCACTTCTGCACAGTTCCGCATCTCTACGTGAATCTCAACACTCTCAGCTAATGCATCTTTTGCATCTCACAGTGTCTGGCATCCGCTTCAAGGCCCTCTTGTCGACTGGCCTCTCGCCGTGTGCGACGCCCGAACCGTTGACTTCACGAATGACACAATGGCAGGAGATGTCGTCGACCGTAACCAGATTTTCGAAAACACACAAGTCCACTACAATGCAAAGCAAAAGTGGTATTACTTATCCGGTCAGATGCCAGATGAGCTGATACTTTTCAAGAATGCGGACAGTCAAGAGCCGGAAGGTGCAACGCCTGGCGTACCGCACGCATCATTTGATAACCCCCTAAGGACTGCAGCTGATGCTCATCGCGAGAGTATAGAGATGCGAGTACTGGTAGTATGGTGAAGTAGGGGCCATTCCGTTTTTTGGTCTTCATTGGTGGTAAAAAGATGTCACATTGGGGCCCTGTCGTGATTCAAACAGCGGAGAACATCGTTGTGACAATGGTGTTCCCAGTAACAAAACCTTTGCTTGCTTAGCAGGATCATATCCGGCGATTCCTGTAGACTTAATTTGAAACGGCGTTGGACTGTCCAAGCGTGATCACTGCCCGGCTTTCGGCACACCATACCTTCTGCTGTTTTGACATCTCACGACAAAAGACCCAGCAGGCGGCGCGCGACGAATGAATACATTGTAATAGCTTGTAATAAAGGTATTCATCGCGATCCTGTCTAATGGTACGAATTGCGTGGGTAGAAAGCAAAACAAATGCAGCAGCCTATTCATCACTCATCGTAAGGTCGACCAAACGCTATTCGTCCACCCAGATAATAACAATAATGAATATCGAGTGTCTAAGAGTCTCGCCTTAGCCAAACTCCATCATTGACTGTACGTAAGCTTCTGGTGACTTACAGCAACTCATTTCTGCTCTTTCTTAGCAGGTTTGACATTAGCTGCAGTGCCATCGACAACAGCTATCTCGCCCTTTGCAACTCCATACTCGACACCGGGGCATGTCTTCTGCTCGGCGGGTGGCCAAGCTGCCTTCCACGGCTGAGCCTTAGGTTTGACATTAGCAGCGGTGCCGTCAACAACAACTGTGTCGCCCTTTTCAACACCGTATTCGATGCCCTCACACGCGTTCTGCTGCTCTGCTGGCGGCCACGCGGCTTTCCATGGTTGGGACTTGGTGGCGGTCATAACGATTGGTGGAGGAATTAAGATGTCGGACAGACCGGAAGTGGGTTTGTATGGCTGGGGTGAGATGCAGGGTGCGAATCGAAAATGGGAGGATAGCGAGCGGATAGACTCAGAAATTCACAGAGGAACAGCAGGACAAGCTTTTCATATAGGAAGGGTCACGAAACAAGAAACTGGCTGGCGCAGCACGGTCTCAGATGCGCTGCTAAAACAAGACAGTGTGGCCCTGGCCTCAATCACCACAACGTTCAAGACCTTGGCGCCGTTGTTTCCCCGCAACACCATATCGCGACCCTATGCCAGTCCGATGCCGGTCTTCAGCTCGCTTGCAGCGGTGAGAACATTGTCGATATTATTGGTTGAGCCCAGAAATGGCTTATCGCTGCAGGTCGGCCTAACTCCTGAATTTCCCGAGCCGCTCTGTGGGACATTCTGAAATCTGGGCGGAAGTGAGGGATCTCATTATAAATGCAAGCTTGAAACTGACATGAACGATGCCATCATGGAAGGAGAGGTGCTGCGTGTCTAACATGACAGTGCCACCATGTGATCAAGTACCTGCGGAAAAGATATGTCACAGACAGAGCTTACCAGAGACTCCTTCCGGAATAGACCAATAATAAGTTCCTATCGACAGTCGATACTGCAAGAGTGCCAAATAAGCGATAAGCAAAAAGTCGCTGAGCCAATCAAGTCTGAGCGAGTTTCGAGTTACGCAGGAACCTCAGTATTGGTCACATGCTCACATGCTGATCTAGGACCTGCACAATTTGGTCGTCCAGGATAAGTCTAATGAAATGCGGGGAAGCGATTGTGTTACTGATTTGAAGAAGCCCCCCGTGGCACTTTCTCGCATTGGTCCAGCGGGCCGAAGATCCAGTCTGGGGATCGAAAGTCTTCTGACCTGGCAAGAAAAGTCTAAATTATGCTGTATGTTTCCTTTGACAGCCCCACGATGAAGCTCCCGATCTTCTAGAAGCATCTTGACCAGCTTTCGTGTTCTATATTGAATTCAGGTCCAAGTACCATACAACATCTAAATTCTGAAGAATACACACCTTCTTTGATGGATAAGTAGGTTGTTCCTGTAGCGACGGTAGCGGCTAGAAGGCTTTCAAGGTAAGTTTTGTAACAAATTACACAAAACTTGACGTTTCGCATTGACGCCATTGGATCGTAATGATTTGATGCCACGTTGGCAACATTCAGTGGCTGTAAATGCGTACCAAGTATTTGATCTGTGTACTTTATGTATTAAAAAGATGTCACCTGTATCACCGAACCAAGGTTTCTAGTCCCAGATTAAACTAACAATAGAGAGTTGTTGATCATAATACTAAAGGGTATCTCACGAGGACTTTAATTGCAGTACATATCTTCATCACAATTATCCACACTGCAACTCACTGGCTGTCGGTTTGGCGTGATATTACCAATGCCGTCAAGGAGTGGAGCCCCGGAACCGGTCAAGGGCCGGCTCCGACTCCGCATTTATTCGGTGGAGAATGCATGGTTTCCCACGGACCTTGGCTTTGTCACCTACCGACATTCGGAAGAGGCTACATCCGATACCGTATTGTCAAGACGAGTTTTGGGCTTGATATCAAGAAGCACGACTGCTGTCTCATCATGTCCAGCAAGGAAGTAGACGTTCTTTTGTTTGGGCTTGGCGCGTGAGTCACGAGAACTCCGCTGTCGGAGGAAAGTTGCGATGTCTTAGCTAAACTGTGTCACAGCATCGGTTCCTTTTACGCCTTTATACTGAGTCGTTCGACAAGAGTCAAATTGACTGTAGTGGCGAGATCAAACTATGACGCTGTTAAGACTAACGGCCTGCAAATTAACAGCGATATTCATGGACAACACCTCCTGAAGCTGGACCAAGGTAAGTAGTCTCATATCTAGACAACTTAAAGCTACTACACTATTTGACACATTCTGATAATGAAAAAGTTGTACGCAGTCCAGCCGAACTAAAACAGAAGTTTGATTATGTCGTGTGTGCTCACAAAGCTATCAATCAATCAGCCACTCCTGCATTGATCGCTTCTGTTGTTGACCAGAAGAAGACGACAATAATTCTCATTCAAAATGGGGTGGGCAATGAGGAACCCTTCCGAAACTTTTTCCCACAGGCTACTATCCTATCGTCCGTGGTACGTTGAAGGTATCCATTCTGCAGTACGACACGGTAGTCAGGGTTGAAGCCATTTGAATTTGCTAACGCCGGTCAATTCTCTAGACTTGGGTTGGCGCTGTACAAACGGAACCTGGGGTCGTCCATCATAGAAGGGCGGAAGACATGCAACTTGGTCTGTTCCCTAACGCTGAGAATGATCAAGCGGTAGAAACACAGAGGCTGGAGACATTTGCTGCATTGCTACGAGAAGGTAATACTAAGTTCAGTGTCGTGCCCAATATCCAAATCCAACGATGGGAAAAAGTCATATGGAATGTGGCATGGAATTCGTTGACTGCCCTCACAACGCTTAATACTCACGCCTGGCTCGAATCATCGGACAATGCTGTTCCCCTAACACGTCGCCTAATGAACGAAGTCATCGACGTAGCTCAGAAGTGTGATGTACCCATTGAGCATGAACTGGTGGATCTTCTCATGAAGCGAATTGCAGAGCTTCCTCCCATAGAAAGTAGTATGCAAGTCGATTGCAGGAATGAAAGACCGATGGAAGTGGACATAATCCTGGGATATCCGGTCAGAAGGGCTAGAGAGCTTGGGGTTGATGTACCGACGTTGGAGACACTCTACGCGATCCTTACTGCCTTGAATGGGAAGTTTTTAAAAAGTAGACCATGAAGGCTACTTAGAAGTGGTTGACGGCTGCGCTAGTGTGATGCTGTGTTAGGCATGCTAGACCTATAGAGACACATGTAGTATTACAACTATAGTTATCTCTATCTTATATGTGGTCTGTAGGCACCGCTGTAGTTGCTCATCGACATGCTAGACCATTTGAGCAACCTTCTATTTAGCCTGACAGAACTCTAGAATGGTTTTAAAATCCACTTTGAATCGAACCTCATCTTCAAGAATATATCGTAAAACAGCTTCGGGTTTGAGAATGGCATCGTGAGGGTCGTTGGCCCTGTAAAGCTCGTCGTTTATGTGTTCTGAAAGATCCATCTGAACATCGGCCCCAAACTCGAGGAAAAATTGTACTATAGAAACCCAGTCGTCATTCACTTCGCCTCCTTCGGCAAATAGTCTTAAGCCCCCTCGGAGGAGACTTACCCACGCCGTCAGAGTATGGTTCTCTGTATCCATTGCATGGGGATCGTGGCAGTTTGGGTCGGCACCGTTCTGAAATAGTAATTGTACGGTGGTGGGGCTGGGCTCCAATGTAGAGTACCTCGCACCTATCCAGTTGGCTGCGATCTTCCTGAGTTCTATATTTTGCCGTCGAGTGGCTCTAAACAGTGCGTTCGCCAGCTGGAACTCTGAAGGCGTTCGATCTCGAAACTTCTCCTCTGTATAGGTGCATAGCCCATGCAACATTGCGCAGTCAAGAAACGTCATATTTCCCAGGTATAAATCCTGTTCATTCCAGAAATCGAGACTCTCTCTCCGTCTCCAGTAGATATCCGGCCAGGAAATGCTAGATTCGCTTCGAGAGGTCCTTAACTCACGAGTGAGGTCTTCACCAATTTCATCCAGTTCATCGAGAAGGCCAATGTATGACCGCTTATGGATATCTTTCGAGCATGAACTGTCCAGAGAGCGCGCTAAATTAAATATGTCTGTAAAAAGACTCTGACTGCGCTGGGGAACTTCAGCTCCTCTCCAAGGGTCATTGTCGGCAATAGGTGACCCGATTTCGTAGATAACAACTGCTTCACAGCAGCACTTTAGTCGTCGGACTAACCCGCTCATTGCGGCTAGTTGAATCTCAATCTCACATGTGAATCCTAGATCTTTGCGAAAGATCTGGTCCCATAGATACTTTCGTAAAAAGAATTGTTTGGCAGTCTGGTGTATAAACTGGACTGGGTCTGTTCCTTCGAGAAGGCCATTGCATCGACTCTTCAAGCGCTTTTCGAGATGCTCGCGACGAGGTTGCCATTCATTCCAAGTCTTTAATTGATAGTCATCACTCTTCACTTGTAATGCAGGATTATTTGTCGACTTCAAGTGCCCTTGAGCCGCAAGAAATAAGGTGATAATATCGAACGACAGAGGAGACCACTCGTCAGGCGAAGATAAGCTGAGCTGAACCAGCCTTTTGAACTCATCAAGATAGTCTGTCCTGATACGCCGCATCATGTGCATATACAGACCATCTTTTCCGCCAAGCTTTCTTGGAAGAGCGTCGAATTTTTTCCACATTTCGTCTTCAAAGTTGCCGTCACGGTATTCCGTAATCAACAGATCCACCACAATTTGTACCCACAAGTACACCCCCCGGGATCTGGTCTTGATAGCACTCACGAATTGATAGAGCCCAGTCAGATTTGGTGCCTTTTCCCGGAGTCGACCTTCCGAGTATTGCGCAATAGACCTGGCGGTACATTCGTGGACTCTGATTCTTGAGAAACTCCGAAATTCCTCTTCGAAACTTGTCAGTTCCCTACTAGCAACACAGATTTTAACATTTTCATAAGCATTCATGCGGTTTAGAAGCACACAAAGCTCGATGTACCCGTCCGTAATCCAAGTGCTCTGTCCCCAGGCTTCGTCTTCATTATCGCCCTCGAACATCAGGTCCAGTTCCTCTTCGGTATATTCTTTGATTTTGTCGATCATGCGGTACTCGTCAATGCCATCCAAGAAAAGACAAATCCGCGAATCTTGCAGGCGATCTAAGATGCTGAAAAGCAGGTTGCCGAGATCCGTCCATGTAGGAAGTCGCATCGGTGTCTGTGGCGCATGTTCCAGGCTATGTCGCAGAGAATTACCCTCTGGGAAAATTTGAGGAATCAAATCACGCCGATGACTGAGCATTTGATGAATGAGACTCCTTAGCATCCCCTCTCTTGAGCTT